CTGAGTGAAAGAAGCCTGACACAAAAGAACACATATTATGATTCCATGTAAGTGAAATTTATAGATACAGAAAATAGGTTAGTAGTTGCCAAGGTTTGGGGTTGGGAGTGGAGGGGGCAGATACTATGGAGAGTGACAGCTATAGTGTACAGGGATTCTTTAGGGGATAATGAAAGTTGCTAGAATTAGATTGGGAGATAATCACACAATTCTGTGAATGTATTTAAAAACCACTGAACTATACATTTTAAATGAGTGAATTTTATAGTATGTGAATTATATCTCAATAAAAGTGTTTTTTAAAAATAAAACAAAAAGCTACATATTGGAAGAAAATAGTTGCTAAACATATATCTGATAAAGGACTTGTGTCTGCATTATATAAATAACTCAAACCAGCTAATGAATCTGTTTACCTGTGTGTGTTTCTGCAGAAATTTTTAAAAAGCTGGCAACAGTAAAACCATGTTAGGAACCTTAAGGACACTGAAGTTGTTAAAGTCCCTGAAAATAATCTAACTGATGAACGGGCACGATATTTGAATATACATTTCACCAAAGGAACATATGTGTGACTGAGTGCACGAAAATATGCTTAACATCATTAATCACTTGGAAAATGAAAATGAAAACCATAATGGGATATTATTACACATACTTTAGAATGGCTATAATCCAAAAGACTGAAAATGTGTCAGTCAGGAGGGGGAGAAATTAGGGCCCTCATATGTTGACGGAGGGAATGTAAGAATGACACAATCACTTTAGAGCATAGTTTAGCCGTATTTTTTGTTTTGTTTTGTTTTTGTAGATTTTTGTTTGTTTGAGTCAAGGTCTCACTCCGTTGCCCTGGCTGGAGTGCAGTGGCATGACCAGGGCTTGCTGCAGCCTTGATCTTCTGGACTCAAGCTATCCTTCTGCCTCAGCCCCCTGAGTAGCTGGGACTAGAGGCATGTGCCACTACACCCAGCTAATTTTTTTTTCTTTTTGTAGAGATGAGGTTTTGCTATGTTGCTCAGGCTGGGTTTAGTTGTTTTTTTAAAAATTTACATGTGTCCTTACTCTACAACCTATCATTTCTACCCCTAGATATTTGCTCATGAGAAATGAAAATATATATCCACACAAAAACTTGTCTATGAATTTTCATATAAGTGAATTTTGTAATAACCCAAACTGGAAACAAGGTATATTAACTGGCAAACAGCTATAGACATTTACTAAAAACCATTAAGCTGTAAAAAAAAAGTTAATGTTATGGCCCTTAATCAGAGGATAATAGGCTATACAGCTTTGAATGTCCATAGATAGCCCAATTTAGGTAGTTATTTTTGTTTCTAAATTAAATTCTTACTGTATTTATACTCACAGAATCACAGAATCTCTGGGTCAGAAATGATCCTGCAAGTCATATAATCCTACCAACCTTTCAGTATTTAAATATCATTTGAAATACCTCCACAAAGTGATCATACTTGAAAAACTGTTGCTAAGGAAATTTCATGATTCATCAGGTCAAACCATTTCATTTTTATCCCATACCATTTGTGAGCAAGTCATTCCATACATTCAATCAGAATAGTCTCCATGTATTTCTCTCTAGTGCTTTCTTTTTTAGAAACCATACAAATCAAGTTTAACTCCTTTTTAACATATTTTTTAAAATGTTTAAATGCATCTGTCATTTCTGTTTCCCATTTTGTTCCTTTGGCCTTCAATGGAAATAATTATTATGGATGCAGTTTATTACAAAACCCCCTAAATTATAAGATATATTTATATATAAATTATAAGTATTATTAATTTTAAGGATTAAACTGCATTCAATCATCTATACATGGTACAAAGAATGTACATCTCCAGTTCTATTCTTATGAGAGTCACTATCAGTCTTAGAATTTCTACCATCATGTAGAATACAGTATGCAGTAAAAGCTTTTGTGTTGATGCTCAATTTTATTCCCTAGATTTAATTCAGCATTTTTGGCTGGACCTGGTAGTTATTTGGATTTGTTTCCATCTCCTTAATAGGACTGTCTCTTTAATAGCAATCTCTCTCCCTCTGTTTTGTGTCATCTATGAGTATAATAAGAATGCCTTTTCACCTTAATCTTAATTATTGATAACTGTATATTAAAAGAGTAGAAATATTTATGATTTATTGCAATACAATGTCTCTTCTTGAGTAATTTTCATTAATCAACTTTTGAGTGAGAATATGTAAGTAGATATGAACAAATAGAATTGTCTGTTCTATGAGCCCAGTAGACTTTGTCTCAGGTCATTGTACGTTCTCTAAGTCCACTGAATCCGTCTAAATATCATTTACTATCCCTTAAATTGCCACATTTTTCCCATCTCCCCTTCCTTTATGAAGAAGAGTATATACACATTTGCAGCCCCTAGGGTTACTGGGTTATTCTCCTGAGAGCCCCCTGTGTTATGCATGTTCAAAGAAATTTAGTGTGTCTTTTCTCTTATTGATTTGCCTTTTGTCAACTGATTTTTCAATGATCTTTGAGAGGGCAAAGTTTTCCCTTTACCCCTGAACAACCCAAGCGCCCATTGCCTGATGAAAGGATAAACAAGATATGGCATATACAAATGATAAAATATTATTCAGTCTTAAAAAAGGAAGGAAATTCTGGCACATGCTACCACATGGATGAGCTTTAAAGGCATTGTGCTGCATGAAATAAACCAGTCACAAAGAACACTCTATGATTCCACTTATATGAGGTACTGAGAGTAGTCAGATTCATAAATACAATAAGTAGAATAGTGGTGGTTGCCATGGACTGGGGGGGAGAGAAGAATGAGTAGTTATTTTTTAATGGCTACAGAGTTTCAGTTGGGGAAGATGAAAAATATTCTGGAGATGGATGTTTGTACAATGTAAACACACTTAATGCCACTAAACTGTACACTTAACAAAGGCTAAGCTGGCAACTTTTATGTTATGTATATTTTACCAAGATTTTTAAAAATTCAAAATACATTCTTTTAAAAATGATTTGGATTAGAGAAATATATTTCTCAGAATTGCAAAAATAATGAGATAAATTTTGTTTAATATGTCTTCTTCTAAATGAATCATTTATATACCTTAATAATTTCATAGCTTAGGTAATAAGCTTACCTTAGGTAAGGTAATAGCTTAGTAGATAGAAGTTACCAGTATAGCAATACATACCAGCATATCAGTACAAATGCTAGTAGAAAAACAAATCTACCAATATAAAATTAATTGAATCAGTCCTCATTTGAAAATTAAAAACTTTCAATTCCCAGAATTCTGATTTCTAGGTTCTCACAGTTCAACAAACTCTTTTGATATTGGCTTTGAGATGTGCATTTGTCTCCAGTCATCTGATACATCATTTATTTGAACCTTTAGAAATGAATTAATTTTCAGTGACGAAAGTATTAATTTAAGCTTTCAATATACTTTACTCCAATGTTCTACTTACATTTATGCTTTAGATTATAATTATTTCTGATAGAAAAGAAGGAACTGAAATCAGAACTTGGTAAATCAAATTTATTTATTTATTATATTGTGGCAAAAGTAGATCGTGTTACTCTAGGTTTTAAGGAGAAACATGACAAATATATTTTTCAGCAATTATATTTTCTATGTAATATAATGTATTAGTAGAAGAAAAGAATGAAAAATAAATGAATCCAAACAATTAGAATAATTAATAATGTAAATATGTGCTACTTTCTTAGCACTTTGATGACTTCTGGTGATGTGACAAAATATACTATAATTTATGTACTCTCAAAGAGACTAAAATATAATAAGAATATAACTGTACATTATAAGAAAAGTGCATGAAACAAGAAATCATTGACAATCATTGTATGATATGCTATTTTAAAATTCAGCCTTTAAGTCACTTTGGGAGGCTGAGGTAGGAGGATTGCTTGAACCCAGGAGTTCAAGACTAGCTAGGAAACATAGTGAGACTCCCATCTCTACAAAATCAAACAATTAGCCAGGTTTGGTGGTGTGCATCTATAGTTTCAGCTAAGCGGGAGGCTGAGGTGGAAGGAATGCCTGAGCCCAGGAGGTCAAAGTTGCAGTGAGCCCTGATTGTACCACTGCATTCCAGCCTAGATGACAGAGTGAGTCTCCGACTCAAAAAAGCAATCTAGCCTATACGTGATTTAAAGTTTAAGAGAATAGTGATATTAATAACTGCCATAATTATGAAAAAAAATTTCAAGTAAGTGAAAATTCATTAAGCCTGATGAATACCTAGGATTTCATTTACAAAGGAAATAAAAATGATGCTACTATTTGGAGGAAAATATGAGTATAGAAACATAGCTAGAGAACGAAAAATGTGGCTATAATTCTAAAATAAAAATATTGTAACTTTCATTATTATGCTGATTGTGGGTGCAAAGTCTAAAACTAAAATTGTTAACTCATTTAAATTTAGAGTGGTTGGTTTTCAGGGTTTTAGCAAATCTCTAAATATGTGAAAAAAATATATTTGTGTGTGTTTACATGTAATATTACCAAGGAAAGGATTTCTGTCTTGTATCATAGACTCAAAAAGTTTTAAATTACACGGAATTGTACAAACATTAATGTAAAGCTTAACCGGGCTCGGTGGCTCAGCCTGTAATCCCGCGCTTTGGGAGGATGAGGTGAGTGAATTGCCTGAGCCCGCGTGTTCGAGACCCACCCGGGCAACTTGATGAGACCTCATCTCTACAATAAATCAAAAATTAGCCGGGCGTGGTAGCGCGCCCCTGTAGT